CACATAAATTTGCCCGGTTGAACTTGGTGGGACTAGTTTCCAAGTAAGTCTGCCTGGGGTCAGATGTGAGGCTGCAAACGTGGCTCCCATTTTTTTCTGCCAATGCTAGTTCACGCCTGTTCTTCATCGCCATTGGCAAAAGACCAGAGGCTCCCTGTGATACGATGGAGAACGTTGCCGTGATCAGCTGAAATCAAATGTTTGTAAGCGCCACCGATTCCTCTTCAAGCACCTGCCTAACTCTCATTTGAACTAGTTTGGCATCGAAGTGCTGAACTCTGGCTGGATCCGGTCATATGTCATTTGCTTTGAGCAAAGGCTGCAGTGTAATCCAGAGGGTGGGGAAAGTGTCAAAGTTTCCCCGCACAAGAAAATATGAGATCTGTCTGTCCCAGCAGAATTCAGCTGAGTTCAGGCAGCCTTCTAGTGTGGACTTTCGAGACAGCATTTAACGTCCGATTTTTAATGTGCTACAGAACATTTTTTATCCTCGAAAACAATATGAGCGACATGCGTGACACCGTTGTTTACTCTGATCACCACCTAGCAAAAACATTCTTGAAAGTGAAGAGATCGGTCTTCAACTAAGCCAACAATTTAAAAACATCCAGAATGTATGAAAATGCAAAAGAAAATCCACAGGGAAGTCTCCCACAGAACATCTGTTTCTAAGCACTGTTGTGCTTTCGTGCTGCAGCTTTTTGTATGTGTACAGAGAAGAGGAGTAGTTCTGAATAACTCTGGAGCATGTATCAGCATTGCGGGAAATGTAGCATTGCCGGGCCGAAATTGTAAGGCTGGGAGTGCAGGCATCTGAGCAGCCCCCCCCCCCCCGGCCATCTGAATTTGCTGAACAATTCTCCCTGCCCCTTCCCTCGGGGCTTTTGTAAATAACAGTGAAATGTAGTATTGGAGGGAAATGGGCAATTGGATAGTGAGGGTGAGGGTGAAGGGCCGTCTTCCTGCGACCACTGGGCATTGCACAAAGACTCAAAAGAAACCAAGCCGCCTCTCAAGCTTGTAATCGTATCGGGTGTTTGTCCCCTCAGAAGTAAGCCTGCTCCAGTTCAGCGGGACTTACTCCCAGGTAACCTATGTACAGGACTGCAGTTCAGCGTAGCAGAAACGAGACGCCTAACAGAAGGCACGCACCTAGAAAATGGCGGGAGAAATGTTATAATGTGGCCAGGTCAGTTCTTCTTGCATCAAAAAGTTCAGCTTACTGCATGTGTTTGGAAAGATTTCCGGAGGAGCTGTAGAATCATAACATTTATGGAAACAAATGAGTTTTAAGATGCTTCTTGAATGGGCTGGATCTCAGCTGGCAAAGCAAAGCCAAGCATCCAAAATGGGGAATGGAGGCAATTGAAACAGAGAAGTGGAAATCCAGGGTTTGAAAAGGACAAATGAACCCAAGGAAGAGAACAATTGAGGAGGACAATAATGTGAAATCAAAGAGGAAAGATAAGAAGGGGCAGGGGAGAGCCAATGCACTTAAGTTAATAATAAAATCATGGGTATGATTGTGGTGAGACGAGGCCTGATGCAATGGGTGAATCAGAGGTCAATCGAGTATGATGAGAGCACATTCTGCGAGACGGGGGTCTAGCTAGAGATACGGATTGAGGAGGGGAATTAGAAAGAAGGCGAGCAAGAGTAAGACGCACATACAAACTACATAAAGCACATTAAAGAGGATCGAGCCGTCCGTCAACTTGAAGCACGACAGGGAGGAAAAGTGACTTGTCGGAGGCCAGCGCGTGGCTTAAATGCACGCTAGAGACCATTAGTATAATTTTATATTTCCGAAAAAAAGAAAAAGAGGGAAAGAAGTGCCTAGAGCCAGAGCACGCAGAGAAGGACGGAATGGTGATCGTCTCACGTTCATCTCAGTATCAAATCACTCGTATCGATTGCATGGCCGCTCGAATCAGGAGACGCTTGGTCCCCTCACAGCCTTGGGATGCAGACTTGGTTTGTCTTCTGCTTCTGCCCTTCGTTAGGCACGCACTCAAGAGTTAGTTTTTAAAAGAATATTCTTGTGCCGAGGTTTAATTTAAGGTTCTCATTTGTAACTGCAGATTCCCCAGTTTTTCTTCCAGTTAGTTCACTGGATAAAGTTGCTTACCTCCAGTGCCAAAACACTATTTTCTTTTCTTATTTGATGGTTGCTTGCTTTGAAAAGAACGGAATTTCTCCTCTCCCATCCATTTTGCTGGTTAAAACTGCAGCACTTTTGTTTTGTTTTGTTTGTTTTCGGTGAAAATCTGCTCCTTCTAGGGACTGCATTTGCAGCTGAGCCATGCCGGCCCCTGTTTCAGACATTTAATGGTTTGGAGAAGTGAGTGATTTTTGTTCTGTTTTCACGCTGTGTTACTATGTTCTTCCACGAGGAGACGATCCACTGGGATTGGACTGGGGAGCAACTGGTGTAAGCAAAAGCAGTTCACATTCTTCTTTTCAATGGGTCCTTAGGATGTTTTTTTAATTTAAAAAAATTCCAGCAGATTCTGATTTTTTTAAACCCTGACCACAATGTATTTGGTCTGCAAAAAAAAGAAAAGAGAAGAAAAGGAAAAGGAAAGGAAAGAAAAGGCTTCAAGAATTTGATATTTTTATGTTGCTATATGAATGGGCTTGATCCATACTTCTTGGACTACCACAAATGTTGTAGCTCATCAGATTCAGCATTTCTCTGAATGCTGCCTGGCAGTTCTTGGTGGGTTAAATATATCACAACATACATTGAAATATGCATTTTGAAAGAAAACAAATGACTTTTTTCATTTTTAAAAATGCAGATCAATGCAGAAATGAAATGTAACAGAACAGAATTATAGCTAAAAGCATGGAAAACTGACACAGGGCAGAAACAGAGAGATTTGTCCAACATGTTTAAATCATATTGATTCTAATGGGACAGGCATAATTAATTTTGCACAGCTTGGCATCCAGGCAGCTCCGGCTCTCCCTCCCTCCCTCCTTCCCTCTCTCTCTACATATATTCATCTTAGTTCATCTCCATACACAGTATCTCTAGGACTGCCCCAAATTCTTCCCAAACAAATACAACTCTAAAACGCAATATAAAACAAGAAAAATGATAAAAACTAAAAGCACCATGGAACAGAAATGTTAAGCTTGACAGCTACTGACAAACGAATCTAGACTCATTATTTTCAGCTTCAGCAAGTGCAGCCACACCTATTACCATATAATTCTGGTCCCTAAAAGTATATGAAAGAAATCATTTCTGTTTGTTCTGTATCAGGAATTATCCAGTTCACGCCTTCCAGCCTGGACACAGACTTAGACAATATCCGTGTTTGAGATCTGTGCATTTCCATCCTTGAATGTGATTTAGGCACCCACAAAACGCGTTCAGCCGTCGGTTCGAACTAAGTGCACAAATAAACTTGTGCCGCTGAGAAATGCTCGGAAGTACGTCCTGATCAATGGGAGAGGCACGTGCACATTCCGAAGGTGCCCACAATTACATTTGGGAGAATGTGCATGAGAATAGGCGTGAGTCTTCATGAGGAAGAGAGCAAAACAGGACTCACAATCTGACATAGACTCAGATTGGAGCAAGCCGAGATGGATTTCGGAGAACATCAGCACGCCCAGGTTTTGCCGGCACGCTGTTCAGGCCAATGCAAGGGCAGCCTTCGGTATTGATTTGAAAGGAGCCGAGAAGCTGGCTGATGAGTAAACCTTCCTTGTATTGTGCTGTCAAATACAGGCACTGGATACACACTCAGGGCTTGCAGCTTGTCGCCACACGGAGTCCTGTTTAGGTTTTGAAGAAATGGCCCCACACCTGGGATTGCTCTCCAGGGGGCTGTGTGCACCACGGACATCTGCAGCCACGGATTCCAAAGCACATGGAAGAGGGACAGCTTTTTGCCCTGATACCAAAGCATTTTTATTGGTTTCTGCACCTCCTCCTCCTCTTCCCTGCCCAAAGCAGCCCAGGGGGCAATTCCTTGCAGAATTGTCCCAGAGAGCAGTGACTCTGTGCTCCTGCTGGCAGAGCATTACGTTTCAGGGGTGCAAGCCTGGAGGAAGCTGCAGCCAGCCAGCCAGCCAGCCAGCCACCTGTAACCATTCCTGGTCCCGGATGGGGATGTACCTTGCCGTTCACTTCTGAGCAGAGGTGTCTCGCTGCAAGAGAAGGGGCCTTTTTGGTGTTGTCACCTTGTCCCTGGAAATGTGCCTTTTGCGTCCTTCTGCAGGCTCAGTTTCTGACTGGTGTTTTTCTGAAACACTTCAACACACTGTTTTCCTTTCTTTATCTTAGAATCTGTTGCTTCAGTGGGTAAGGTGACTGGTTTTACTGGTGAATTTCTTATGGATGGGTTTTTTCATTAACCACCTCAAGACTCTGCAATCGAAAGGACAGGCATTTTAGATAAGAAACCAGTGAAACCAGTTTGTTCTTTCAGTCTAGGATGGACTTCAGAGGTGACTGCGCAGACACTTGCTGGAGAAGGGTGTGTACACACATCCAGATTTTGAAAAAAATGTCCGTCCGTCCGTCCGTCCATCCTGTTAATAATTCTGTAAAAGTTTTTGTGTCCTTATAGCCGTTTTGTACCGGGCCAGTACAGGGATAGCCGTTAATTATTCAGTTTCACTTTCTCCCAGACCTGTTTTTAAAACAACCAAACAGGGATTCAGGTGCCAAATTCTAAGGCCTAAGCAGTGAAAGCTATGGATCTGGATAGACAAATTTCTCTCTTGCTTTTTAAATGTCCACATTCACATGTTTAAATCTCCAGTTTTTCCATTCCTGTTTCTGAATTTTGGTAAGTTCTTATAAAAGAACCAAAACATCTCACTGTAGAAAATTCTCATCTATCCACACTGTTGATTTAAAAATGTGCAGACTTGGAAAGGGGCAGTGGATGACAAGGGGAAAGGGGCTGCAAGACCGGGAAAGGTTTTCTGCCGAAATAAAGTTGCTTCTCTTCTCTGTTCTTTTGTTGTCTCCCATCCAGGAAAACTGAACAGCCACGACACTTACAACAATTTTACCAACAATAATCCGGGGAACCCTCGCCTTTCCCCGCTTCCCAGCCTGACGGTGGTGGTGCCTCTGGCTCAAATCAAGCAGCCCATGACTTTAGGAACCATCACCAAACGCACAGGGTAAGCAAAACAGTTGTGGAGGCTGATTCCTGCATTGTGTGTTTCGGAAATCTTTTTTCTTTCTCTCTCTTTGCTGCATTCTGTTTCGGAACAAATTTGTAGCTGCAGCATCTCCCTTTTAAACTTTAAGGCTGCAGCACCGGGCACTGGTATTTGCTGGTAAGCTCTACTCTACACCGTGGGACTTAACTCTTGATTAAACGTGCCTAGGGTTGTTCTGCACACTTCCTTGGCGCGTGCCATGGCAAAAACGGCAGAATACGGAAAGCCGCGTGCAAAGGACTCGGGGGCATCTCAAGCGAGGTCTGTAAATATTTGTCCAGAATTTCCAAACTCTTTGTATTTTTTATATATTTTATGTTGATGGCTCATTTTCTCCAAACCATCTGAGGGATTTGTTTTCTGCTTGAAATCAGAGATAATTAGTAACTCAAACAGAGGATTTCCTGGCCCTTGTTAAGCCATCGACAGTATGTTTTGTGTACTTTAATAGAAAGTGGCATACCAGGGAACGTGTGTGTTCTGGGGTTCACTCGCATTTTTTATTCTCATTCCTATTATTTTGCAAATATGATTTTATCCATTTTATTTTAGCATGTTTCTACTATGTTTGCCCTCAGCTTGCCCATCTTGGTATATGTTATAGAATTTAAAAAGTCAGCATAAGCTTGCTGAAAATGTCTGTATTTAATCACTGTTAACTGTTATCCCGGCTTTCTGGGTATTCACTCTCCCAAGGCAGCTTATAGATCAGTGTGAGATAGATAGATACATACATATGTTGTAAGCTACCCGTGCAACAAGACAACAAAAGAGAAATATTAAGTAGTATTTAAAATACCTACAGCCAATAAACCCGTTACAAAACCACCCAGAGGAGAACTGGAGTGAAGATGTTTTCCGGGCTCTCCTTGCCTTGACCAGACTTCCCCACTCTTTGGGGTCACCAGGATTTCAAGGGGTGCTGTGGGTGCTTTCATAAAATTACCGCCATGGGATTGGGCTCTGCCTATTCCTAAAACGACTCCCATGGTGTACACGACTAAACATAAAACAGTCGTTTTTCTAGACGGCGGACTGGTGAGACCCAGTGTAACTTGCCCAAGAACCAGGGTGCAAAGTGGAAGTGAGATCCACGCTCCGAACACAAGACCGTTCTTCGGAATTCAACTGCAGGTCATACTGGCGGGCACCCCTTCATCCTGCAGCAAGCCAGCCGCCCCCCCCCCCCCGCAATTGAAACGATAAAGATAAAGAAATCTTTCGTAAAAGGAAAACCTGGAGGGCTGGGAACCCTGGCAGGCACCACGGTGGGCTACGGACACCCGATCGGAAACCCCAGCTCCTCACCCGTGGGCAGAACAAGCCGTGCCTCCGGGCCGCCACAAGGCGGGAGACGAGCAGCATCATTCCGCACCAGTCAGACGCCTGAGCACAGCCCATCCTGCAAGTGATCTCGGGCTGGGGATGCTCTCATGGCAAAACGCAGCATGATAGATCTCCCGTCCCTCTGTGGGCAAATAGCGGCTTCAGGAGCAGAGGTTTGCCCTGGGGAAGTGGCGCGAGGGGAAAGGCATGTTCCCCCTTCAGCCCTGCCCTGGCTGGGGAACTGCAGCTCCTCTGGCTCGGGTTTCGTCTCGCCTTCGTGCAGACGTCACGGGGAGTAGAGCGTCCGAGTGTGGGCGCATGTGAAGGACTGGAATCGGGTCAGAGGAGGGCAGCACAGGTTCCGAAAGCAAGTTCTGTGGGAAAAGAGTGAAGGGACCAGGAACGCTTAGCCTGGAGAAGACTCACAGGAGGCAAGGGAGACATGGCAGCCCCTCCCAGCACCCCTGGCGCCCCGCAAAAAAGAGACTCGGTCGCGATTCCCCCCCTCCTGTCTCGTTTGGCCTTTGCACACGCCCTGGGAGCGCAACGCCTTTGGGAGGTGTGAGAAGTGGCCTGTGCAGGCTACCCGATGGCAACGGCACGAAGCGTCCTGTGCCAGCAGCAGCGCCCAGAGAGGGCTGTCGCCTTGCACAGACACGCTCCACAGCAGCGCCCTTTTGTGGCCAGAGGCCGGTGTGGCTCTGCAGGGGCTCTGGCAGCCACAGGAGCGAGGGCATGCTCGGGGCTCCTGACCCAGGGCGGCGTGGCCTCAGTTCTGGGTGCCCTGTGGTTTGCCAGCCTCCCCGAATTGGCTGCCCTCCAGGTATGTCGCGCGGCAACTCCCAGAGTTCCGTGTTGGCTGGTCTGATGGGAGCTGAAGTCCACCTGGGGAAGGAGCCCTTGGGCAGAAGTTCAGAGTGGGGGACCGTCTGGGACTTTCTCGAGTGCAGTAAACTCAGCCTGAGATGGGAGCAATTTTCAGCCTTGAGTAGAGTGTAATTCATGCAGAGCTCGTAAAGTCAGCATGAGGGGGGGAAGTCAGTGTCCTGCGGTGGGATTCACACTTGACTCCAAAAAGCGTTGGTCATCAATCACATTTTAAAACTGTAAACTTATTTCTATTTACACTTGCATCCATGGACTGCTTTTCTATTGGGGGTGGGGGGCTTCAAAGTTAGTTCTGTCCACAGTAAGAATTCATAGATAACAGTGAAGCACGTTAAAATCTCAAACTAAAAGTAAAGAAAGCACAAGGGCAGCATAAGAACTGTAAACAGCCACCTATCTATCCTGAAAGAACCAGAGCAGCAAAGGCACCCCAGACGAAACCCCAGGCGGAATCAGGGAAGCTTCCCACGAAGCCTGTCGCATCGGAGCCGAGCAAAGCAAGGCCAATCCGGGCTGCTGCCGGCAGAAAGCTCTTGCTCCCAGCCTCCAGTTGGGCCCACCTCAAGGCCGCTCTCAAGGACCTCCGTGGTTGGGAATGTTTGTACCGGAAAGGGAGTTCTTGAGACCCTCGGGGCTCAAACTCTCCAGAGATCTATCTAGGGATAGAAAACCCCTTCATTTTCAATATCTCTCAGTCTTTCATTCTTCCAGTCTTAAATTTGCTTGCTCCTGAACTTTGAGAATGTGGGTTTTAAACTTACATGAACATTTGTTCAAGTCTTTTCTGCACATTTCTTCTGTTCCATAGATTTTGTAAGAGAATGTTATCTAAGATACACTAATTCTTGCAAACGCTTTCCCTAATCTAACTGACCGCATTGACCTTTATCACAATATTAGCATAAACCCATATAAGCACAACATCAGTAGTGCTTGTTACACAAGGGGGAAAAGCGGGAATTTGCCGCCAAACATTGCATGCAAACCGCCCCTCTGAAATTCGGTAACAATCACTGCGCTTTTCATTTTGTCTAGAAAGTTCTGACGATGTTGCATTAAAATGGGCTTATGCTATTCTTGAATGCTGTTTTCACAAATGGAAGCGGTTGTGCACACGCTTTCCCATGTCATATGAAGATCCTCTGCCCATAATTGGAGAACCCCAGTGCAGCATCCAGCGTGTGGCTTTCAAAGGATAATGAGTGTCAATTTGCCAATTGGCTTGAAAGGGCAAAATTTAGTAAGTTCATTTCGAAAAGTCAGCTGCATGAATTTCTCTCTCCCCCTCCAAATCCACACACAGCTGAAAGTTGCAGCTGCAAGAGGGTCAGGAACGATGCACCAGACCTGGCGTCCCCACCAGCTAGCTCTCCGTCGTAATCGCTAGGCCTTCGCACGCACTTCCATGCCATAACTTGTCCCGTCAAAAGAAACCAGCAAATGACAATGTTTCAGAAGCTGGGCTGTTAAATCCATTCCGTTGCTGTTTCGCAGCTTGCCGAATAGTGTGTGCTCCATAGTCCACTCGCTGACAGAACTATTCCTTGAGCCAAATGAGTTTGTTTGCTCTTGCGCAAAAGCACCCTTCCAAAAGTGTGCAAATCCCCCCAAGACACCCTTTTCCATGTTTCAGCCGATAGGAGGGAACGTACTTTTTCAGTCCATTTATTATTCAAGCACCTCATTTGTGTAAAAATATGGAAAGTTAAAAAAAAAGTTCTGCACATTTGTGGAATCTGGGAAAAGCAGACTCTGTGGGTTGGAGTTAGAGAAATCTAAATTCATTTGGATCTGCCACAGATTTCTGCAACATCCCTATCCAGATTAATTTATTATTGCAGTGTGTTAGATTTTTGCATTTTATTTATTTATTTATTTATAAAATGTGTATGCTGTCCAATTACTTGCATCTCTGGACGGCTTACAGCATAGATAAATTGACCATCCACACTGGCTGCAAATTGATAAAATACAACAATTTTGCCTCCTTTCCTTGCGCACCACTTAGGTGTGGGAACTGATCTACGAAGAACTGTGTTGTGGACGTCGGTGCCGTATCCTGGTGTTTCAAATGAGATATGCCATTCCCTTGTACTTTAGATTTATTTTATTTATTAAAAGCTTTTCTATCCTGCCCCCTATAGACATAGAATGTCTTGGGGCGGCTTACAATAAATAGATTTCCACTGCCCCGTAGCCCCAGCTTGACTGTGGACACCAATATATAGATTTAGGATATTGCCCTGAATGCCCCGGCCAAATGTCATCCCAGCATCTCAGCGGGGAAGGGGAGTGGTGGCCTGCACGTGCAGAGTGATGTGGCAGAGTCCTGCAGTGGGAGATGGGCTGTGCCACTCCACCACAACTGGAGCTGGGGTGCTGTCTTTTGGAATGGAAACCCCTCTCCAGTCTTGTGGGAAGCAGGCTGGGGTAGACTCGCCGCCCCCGACTGCAAAACTGCCTTTGCCCTTGAGGAGGCTCTTGCGCAGGCCAGAGAGTGTGCGGAGACGGCGCCCTCCGCTCGGTGCCGCCACGTCATCCCGCTGCTCCCGCGGAGTGAGCCTGCGCCGTGGCTGCCCTGCAGTGGCTAAGCCTGCTCGAGATGAGCTGGCTGCTTCCCTGGGGAGCACGGCCCCCTCCCGCCTCGGCCCAGGCACAAGGGCTCTCTCATCCTGCACGCGAGAGCCGTTGGGCGTGCACATCTGAGGAGCTGCCGCCTGTGGCTTGATGCCGCCACGCTGTGC